CCCCAGCCAATGTAAAGCATGAAACATTTTGCTTAAGGTTTATGATTTTACCAAAAAAGATTAGTGAGGGGAATTTCTCTGGGTGGAAATGGGGAATTTTCCTTAGTTTGAGTGAATTTCTCTGTGTTGGAAGGATTTTCTCTGGTTGAGTGATTTCTCGTGAGTTTAGAGTAGGATTTCACTGAGTTTTGAGTGAATTTCTCTGGGTTGAAAGATTATTCTCTAGGTTTGAAGTTAATGGAAATTTCTTTCACTTCAACAAGGCTTTGTTCCAACTTCTAAAAGATCAGGTTTAAAGGATTTCCATGAAATAAGAGCTCTCAAGATATTGTGATTATCCAACTGACTCCCACTTACCTCTTGCTATTAACACTAGTTATGCTTATTTTCTGTTCATGGAACTGTTTGGCTATCTAAGCAAATACTGAAGTTTTTGGGATGGATTCAGAGATGTTCCATCTAGGAACAAATTTCTCTGAGATGGAGCTAGAATTTCTCTGGAATCGAATTTTTCTCAGATTGATGTTGAGGGACCTTAACTATTATGAAAATATTATGTCATTTATACTACTGAATAATTCTGTAAATACTAGAGAAACCCTAAAAAAAAATCCTCTTAATTTTATTCTACTTTTTTCACTTTTTAAAAAAATTTAATATTAAAAATATTTATTTTTATAAAATTTGCTATATATATTTATGTAAGTTATATTTTTATAACACGATAGAACTAAAATTATTAAAATATGCATAAATAATTATTTAAAATTAGTATATGTGTTGATTTAAGTAATTCTTTTATGGAGCGATCTAAAATTATTAAAATAAATAATTAAAATTATTACTTTTTTTCTGTCCAATTTAACAATGATTTTAAATATTTTATATATTTAAAAATATAAATAATTTAACTAATTGTTTTTTAAAAAAATATTAAAAAGAAAAAAGAAAAAAAGATATGCCTTGCATACCATGTCATCGCATTCCCCTCTTCATCGTCCTCCTCACCTTGCCGATTGGCGCCGCCGTTAGGCTTTCCGGCATTGCTTTTCCGCTCACCGCCGCATCTTCTTCCCGATTAGGTACTCTCTCTCTCTCTCTCTCTCTCTCTCTCTCACTCTCTTTCTCTTTACTCCCTCTCTCTTTCTCTCTGCTCTCTTCCATCTAAAAAATCAACCCCCTCTTCCATCTAAAATTTTCACAAGAAAAAAAATGAGCAAAAGGAAAAGGGTTTCACAGTTAGAATCTGATTGAATATATATGTGTCAAGATCAGTGAAACAGCGAGGCTCAATTTACTGAGAAAAAAAAAATAGTTTGGCTAGGAATTTGTTTCACAAATGGTTTAGGAGTGGCAGGAAGGAAGCATACAAAATTTCCACCTCCTCTAGGAATTTCTGGATTTTTTGCCCATCATTTTCTTGTATCAGACTATATCATTCAACAACACTGTTACATGCTTTCTCAGTTGAAAATATTTAAAATATTTTTACCTATCATCATTGTAAATTTGTATTTTGTAATAGATAATGGATGAGGGAAGTACAAGTGATGATTGCTTTGTTGGTGAAAATCGGTAATATAAATTAGATTTTTTTTATCTTTCATTCAAGTTTTGTAATTTGAATTATGTTTTTTATAACCCACCAATCCGTCCGAACTGCTAAGTCAAAACCGCCATTGTTTGGCAATTGAACCGCTAATTTTTGATAAGAAAAATAACAATTTCTAATGACAATTTTGTCAATCTGCCACTTGCCGTGCGGTTTCTATTTTACCCTAAACTGCACACAGCCCTACACACAGTGATCGTCTCTCAGCTCTCAGGTAATCTCTCTGAACATCGGAAAATTATGCACACACATCCCCTCCACTCTCTTCCCCTGCTAATTGTCCCGTCACTACTATTTTTTTTTTAAAAAAAAAAATGTTAACTAGGTCGTGAATCTTCAAACCAAGAAATTGATTATATTTTGAGGATTGTGCTTTGATTATTGTTATTATTTTTTGTGGGTAAGTGCATGCTTTGATTTTAGTTAATAGAGAAAATGGTTTATCGTCTGGAACATCCATATTATGAAGATTGATGTGTGGGAAACATCTGAATAGTTTAAGTTATTTGAATAGTATTTTTTTTCTTTTTATTAGTTATTTATTTTTGTGTTCATGAAAAAGGTCCATTTAGAAAGGAACCGGACCGCCAACCAGGTTGAAGCCACCGGGATTTTTTTGACTGAACCGCCGGGTTTTTGTGAACCACAAGTCGGCTGTGATTTGCAAATTAGCCAATCCTCCATCCGTGGTTTGGTTGTGTTTTTATCTATAAACCGCACTGAACTGCCTCGTGCACACCCCTAGTGCTACCCGACTCATGGTCCTTCCGTTCCATGAGTACAGGTTTCTTTCAACTCCATGTATATGGTATATATTTATTTATACATTTGTATGTTGAGTGTAAATGCACTGCATTTGCAATTTTACATCTAAATTTTGTGACAATTTAATGAATGACAAAGCTGAGTTGAGTTTGAAAACTGCTAGCTATTATTTAATGGTTAACATGAAAGCAAAAAAAAAAAAAAAAAAAAGTGTGACAAAAGCTTCAAATCTATTATGAGTTGTGTGCTTTATATAATAGAATAGATACATATGTGAGTAGAAATTTATTTTGTATATATCTAGTCAGATGACTCAATGTTCTCATTGTTGAAATCATAGTATTCCAAAGTAATTTCATACTTGCTTAGTTGTAGTTGAAGTTAGGGTTCGTTTTGTGTCTCAATGATTGTTTGTATTTTTGTTTTACTTGTTCTACTTAATTATCTTCTTCTTGTATATTTCGGATGCTCAATTTTGTTGCACAATTTGGTGGAATGAGTTTGTTGTGATTATTGTTAGAGTGTGCTCTCAGGTAATGTGGTTATGACTTTTTTGCCATTGGGTTTTTGGATATGGTAGGTAGTGTCTCTTTGGTTGTGTTTTCTTTTTCTGTTTTCATTTTTTGAAAAATAGAAACTTGTTCGGCAAATTGTTTCTAAAAATAGTTTCCGGGACATTTTATGATGAATACTTTTAAGAAACACCAACATATGTTTTCAAATTTTTGAAGACTATTTTTACACAAAAATGAAAACTATGGTTTTTTCAAACTTTCATTGTTCTTTTTTTAAAAAACAAAAATGAAAACAAAGAAAACAAAAACACAACTAAGATACATTTTTTTGTCTTTTTGTTTATTTGGGGAAAAATATATGTTCGTAGTAATCCAGTATATAGACTTGGTTGTCTGTTGAATAATGTGAAATTGCTGCTTTTGTTGCAAGTTTTTGTATAAGTTTGTCAATTAGCATTCCTCATGTTGATTAAATCTATATCACTTGTGAGCTTATTGGATTAGTGAAAATAATCATTGATTGTTCTTTTACTTAATTGTATTTTCATATTGTCTAAATTTCACTTTTTAAGTTACAATTTTATTTATCCATAGCAGAAAATTGTAAAATTTATCTAATGTAACTTGGTATAAATCACTAGCACATAAGATATATAATGCCAGTCAAATAGATATTTACAAAAAGTTACACAAAATGAAAAGATACACTCCATAATGTACAGCAATATACGTATAACATAAGATACAAATTGGTAATCTGTATCTATTTACCCCTGAACATATTAAAGTATAAGATACATATCACGAATTGTGAGATGCTAACAACACTGATTTTTAGCAATCCAATGAATTGACTTGTAGCTTTGTTGTCTAGTGAACAAGGTGAACCTGCTGCTTTCGTTGCAATCATTTGCATTAGTTTTTCAATTTGCATTCCTGATGCTGATTAAAATCTGGATCACTTATGAGCTTCTTGGATCATTGAAAATAATCGTTGATTGTTCTGTAAATTGTTTTGATGATCTCAGATTGATTTTAGTCTTGTGATATCCTATTAATATTGTAGTATCTTACAGAGTTCATATCCTGTTGAGTTGAATGGAGATTGGAGATGTTGGTTCACTGCATTCCAAATCAATGGGAACTAGAGTGGACAAAACTATTTCAACTAGTATACATACAAAGGCCTGTGTCTAAACATCATTGTCGCTATGGCACTCACACAATTTTCTTTGAATTATTACTTCCCAAGTTCCAGTTGCTATTCTTCACCGTCTCTAAGCTTTCTCCTATTTCACCCACAAACCCAATCTTCAAATAGTTTCAGATCTCTGAAGTTCAGAGTGTCTTGTTCTCAACAGACCATTCAACTTGAAACCCCACAAGACAACTCCACAAAGAGGAAGAGAAAGCCAAGACCAAGTTTCTTTGATCAAATTCGCGACAAATGGTCTATGAAAACCCCGTCCTTGAGAGAGAAACTTCCATGGCAAGAACAAGAACAGAAACAGAGCGAACCAATTGAAGACGATGAAGAAGGTCAGTGCCATCAGTCGTTTGGGGTTACTGTAATTGAGTCAGAACCTGATAAGGACCCTTCAGTGAGTGACCTGAGTTTTGTTCCCACTAATCGTGTAGTTCCAGCTCCTTGGATTCATGGAAGCAAACCCAACAAATCCCAGTTTGGTTCTGTTTCCAAAAATTTACAAGACAGTTGTGAAAACGACAAAACGATTGATGAGTTTCACAATCACTGCGAAGACAATGTTTTGAGTAATGTTGCTCGAGAATCAGAGAATTTGGAAACTCAAGTTAATTTTGATGGCAAATTTAATTATAGAGGAGTTGTTGACACTAATGACACCCCAATTGAGTTAACCGAGAAGAAGGTGGCATTACCGATTGAGGACATCAAAAGGGTCTCTTTTGATGGGAAGTCGTTCAGTTTTGATCAGGAAGGTCATAGTTTTGACGGTTCCAGTGGTAAGATTGATTCAATGACATTACCGTGGGCGAGAAAGAGTGATTTGGGATCTGTAGATGGTGATAGGTTGAGGAAGAGAAACACAATCCTGCCGGAGAAATTAATACCAGAAAACGAATTGAAGAGGCTTAGGAATGTGGCTTTGAGGATGGTAGAGAGGATCAAAGTTGGAGCTGCCGGTGTTACGCAGGCATTGGTGGACTCCATCCATGAGAAGTGGAAGGAAGATGAAGTGGTGAAATTAAAATTTGAAGGGCTTCCTACACTTAACATGAAAAGGATTCACGAAACTCTAGAGGTCAGTATTGGTATATTTGTTTCCATAACTATTGACTATGAAATAAAATAATGAAACTTCAAGTGGCTTAATTAATAGTGTAATTGGACCTTATTTTAATGACTAATCAGAGATTCAAGTATACTGATGTAATTTGCTGCAATATTTCACTCTCTTGTTTGATACCACACTTGGATTTTTTCATTTTGTAGTTTCTTCACCATGAATTTGGAGAATTAGGTCTGCTAGTTCTTATATGTGTTATATGTTGTTCTCTACCAGAGTAGAACTGGAGGCTTGGTAATATGGAGATCGGGAAGTTCAGTTGTGGTATACAGGGGAATGACCTATAAGCTTCCTTGTGTTCAATCATATACCAAACAGAATCAAGTTAATACAAAGAGTTTGCATTCTTCAAAAGATATAGTGGGTGATCTTCCTCCGAGAATTGGATTGAAGGATTCTGTTAGAACAACAGAATCATTGGTTTCCAATTCTGCAAGATATTTGAAGGATTTATCTGAAGAAGAAATAATGGATTTAAGTGAGCTCAACTATCTATTAGATGAGCTAGGTCCACGATTTAAAGATTGGTCAGGCCGCGAACCATTGCCTGTTGATGCTGACTTGCTTCCTTCTGTGGTTCCTGGATACAAACGCCCGTTCAGACTACTTCCTTATGGAACAAGACATGGTTTAAGAGATAAGGATATGACATTTTATCGGAGAACTGCAAGAACAATGCCTCCGCATTTTGCCCTTGGTATGTCAACAATAGTACTATGGTTTCTTATTCACATTCTTGTGTTTTCTTATGGATTTTGTTGTCTTTTAATTGATATAGGAAGAAGCAGAGAACTGCAAGGTCTGGCGATGGCTATGGTGAAGCTATGGGAAAGAAGTGCCATTGCCAAGATAGCCATCAAACGTGGTGTACTAAATACTTGTAACGAAAGGATGGCAGAAGAACTCAAGGTGCAATATATCAAATATTGTTATTTATGAATTCATAAATAATTGTGAAAGAGAAAATGTTTGGCAAATAGAATTCATAATAATTGTGAAAGAGAAAATGTATGGTACAGAGTTAAGATCAATCATTCTTTTAACTCTTATTTTAAGTGTTTTTGCAGTTTTCTTGAGAAAGATTTATCATGATCCTATTCTCTCACAAGTTGCTCTTGCTAACCTTATTTATCATTGGCATAGGACACTAGAGAGGTTGGGGAGGTACAGTAACTCTACCTCTTTGTGTAGTCTTTGGTTCACTAGAATGAAATAAAATGGAATAAAATGATCATTCCTAAACCTCCTTATGAAATAACTATTCCCTTACTATGGTGAATGACGATTCCATTTGTATTACAATTTTCATCATTCATTTAGTGAGCCAAACGTGAACATTATGATGGAATTATCATTCCATTCCATTTCATTCTAGTGAACCAAACATAGCACTAGTGTTGTCCAGTTGTGGTGATTTATCTTTTTATTTGGGATTTAGTTATATTTATGAATTTATTCTACTTAATGAAGTTCGACTTCTAAATGCCTTGAGATGGAATTTTCAGTGGGTGGGAAAGTGAATGTTGATTTACTGGTAAAACTTACATGGTGGTCTATTTCCAAAGTCACAAATATGTCCATGCATGCATATGTATTTTCATTCATATTCACATAGAAATTAGTAGACAGTTATTCTTTATTTCGGTAGATTAATTAAATATTTGCAAGTAAATGCTAACCTGCCTGATACTGTTGTCTTCAACAACGCTTTAGATTCTGAATAAATTTGGTCAACTTAATTAATTTGTTGTTTACGACCAATTTCATCTCATTTATGCAGATATTGACAGGTGGAACACTGTTGTCGAGGAACAAGGATTATATTGTGTTTTATAGGGGTAATGACTTTTTGCCTCCTGTTGTGACAAAGACATTGGATGAAGCTCAGAAACTAGCAGCATTGCAACAAGATGAGGAAGACCAAGCACGGTGGAAGGCATCGACCTTGATTCATTCAAATACCAAAGCCAATAATGGCCTTCTTGTTGCGGGAACACTTGCTGAGACCATGGCAGCGACCTCACAATGGGGAAACCAACCTAGCAGCCAAGATATAGAGAAAATGAAGAGAGATGCAGCTGTGTCTAGACATGCTTCACTGGTCAGATATCTTGAGAAGAAGCTTGCTCTTGTAAGTATCTATACTCTTATTTAGGAAAGAATAGGGGCAATATCACAATTTGGTGAAGCAGTGTCGTTCCCATTTTTCTATTAAGTGAGGGAAAATATGTAAAATTAAATACAAACTAAAAGGATAAATATATAAAATTAATACCAATTAAAAGGATAATTACATAAAACAAACCCACATAAATAGCATGGAAAATGGGTTAGTTTAGTGGGATCAAAAGTAGGAATAAGTAGGATAGAGGGAGAAGAAATAGCATAAGAACATAAAACAAAATTACATAATTCAGTAAGCTTAAAAAGAGCTACACGCACTTTTGAGAGTTGGCACTAATGGAAAATAGTATAGGAAGCGGGATAGTGAGAGAAAACGTAAAAATAAATAGAATAAAAGAAAAAGGAAGAATAAGATAAAAAGTAAATATTAAAAATAAAATAAAATTTAAAGCATGCACCATTCTTCTAGTAAGTACTAGATAAGGAGTCTACTATGGAACACAAACTCTTTTTTGCACTTTCTGAGGTTCCATTTATTCTGGTCAATTGTAGGCAAAGGGAAAGATCAAAAAGGCTGAGAAGGCTTTGGAAAAAGTGCAGAAGGCTCTGAAACCAGCAGAGCTCCCTACTGATTTAGAAACCATTAGCGACGAGGAGAGATTTTTATTTCGTAAGATTGGCCAGAGTATGAAACCATTTTTGCCTCTAGGTATGCATCTCTTAATTTACTTTAATTCCATGGGTACATTTTTCAATGAAACAGTCACGAATCTGTGGTTTTTCATCTCAGGGAGGCGAGGAATGTTTGACGGTACAATAGAAAATATACACTTGCACTGGAAGTATAGAGAGCTAGTGAAGATAATTGTGGAAAGAAAAAGCCTTTCACAAGTCAAGCATATTGCAGTCTCTCTTGAGGCTGAGAGTGGTGGTGTGCTAGTCTCTTTAGATAAAACAACTAAGGGGCATCTGATTATACTCTACCGTGGGAAGAACTACCAACGTCCCCGTGCAATGAGGCCCAGGAATCTCTTAACGAAAAGGCAGGCATTAGCTCGGTCAATTGAACTCCAGAGACGTGAGGTAATATTTTGTTTGGTTTAGTTTTTGAAAATTGTTTTTGAATTATTTTTCGTGTTTTTTGTTTTTGTTTTTAGTGAACATTTTTCATATTTTATTTATTTATTTTTAGATGCACCTAAAAGTAAAATATTTATGAAGAAATTTGAAAACAATTCACTAAAAAGTTGTGTTTGGATCATGAATTTGGAAAGGGAAAGGAAAAGGTGAGGGAAATATGGATGAAATATAAGCTAAATTTTTTCTTAATTTCTCTCATCTTTTTTTTTTTTTTCTCCAAATCGCTACCCAAATACATGATCCAAACATAGCCTAAAGGAGAAGGGGAAGGGGAAAGGAGGAGGGGGTGCTTGGTGTTTGTATTATATATTTTATCTTTAGTGAATTTTTTTCATATACACCTAAAAAGTAAAATATTTGTAAAGAAATCTAAAAACACAAAAATAACAAAAAAATAAAAATCAGTTTTTGATTTTGAAAACCAAACATATTTTATTCTTGGTGTTTTGTGTAATTTTACTCTATTATCTCCCTTGGTCACTTTCGGAATATTCATCTATAATTATTTCTTGGTTGAATTATTTGCAGGCACTAAAGTATCATATCTCAGACGTAACACAGAGCATTGAGAAACTAAAGTCCGAGCTAGTATGATTTGCTTTTTTCACAATAATATGCAAACAAGGGAAAGTTTAGTGATGGCTTAAATACATTTCCTTGCATAACTTTTGTGCATCTGTTGTTAATTTTGTAGGAAGATATGAAGGCTGTCGAGGAGATTGATGAGGAAACTTTCTACTCAAGGGTGGATAATGCATCCTCTTCTGATGATGAGATGGAAGAGGTTAGTAGGAATAATCTTCTCTCTATAACAACTAGGTTTGGATCAATGTATGTTCTATGTAGAATTCATACAAAATGTTTCTCTATTTGGAAATCTTCTCTACATCTGCCTTTCATCTTCTATAGAATTTCACCACACAATAAGTCTACGGACACAGAGTTAACCACCGAACCAACCACATAAAACATTCATGGCCATACATATGAGGTAATGGGGCCCACATAAAAGAAACAGTTTCACTCAGATTGTTCCACCTATGTTTTATGTGGTTGATTCTATGGTCAATTATGTGTCCATAGACTTATTGATTTCACCATGCCAACCATTGGAACCATGTTGTCATTTTCCATTCCTAACCACTTCTTGCATTAATCAAAGCCGACATTTGCTTGAATTTTTTTCACTTTTGCAAAGCTCATTTGTTTATTATGACCATTGAGTAATAATCATGTCCACGCATATGTACTACACAGGGTATTTTAGGTATATCATATAATTTCTTTTAATCAGTATTCCCTGCCAGATATGAGTTGATTTTCAGACTGAAGAAGACGCTCTTCAGCATAACTTCTCTTCCCTAACTGAAGCTCTATTTTGTGATCAGGACGAAGATGAAGACGAATATGAAGATGAAGAGGCATACCTTGAAATATATGACAGTAGCAATGAGGATAGTGACATATAAAACAAAGAGAACCTATTACTTTTGCAATTTGCTAGTCATAAGAAAGTGAAATTTTGTTTGCCATCACTGTAGGAACATTTACTCCTTAAATACATGTAACTGTTACTGTAGATAGAGGGCGCAATCAAACCTGTTGCTTGTATAACTGAATTTTTCGCTGTAAATTATGGCTGTAGTTTCATGTATCACGATGAGGACACTGTCTCTCACTTCAATCTCTTAATTTACTTTAATTCCATGGGTACATTTTTCAATGAAACAGTCACGAATCTGATTTTGTTGACATGCGTGTTTGCATTTTGAGAGGACAATATCCCCGTGCCTACCTCATATTGTCAGCCAGCTTGAGAATTCTCTAGATGAAAATCTCCCTTGTAAGCAAGTCGTTCTTTGATCTTGTTCAACTTGACACTGCATGGTTCACAATGCATTTTTCTGTAAATAGAGTCAATAGTGTGGTGTCGTTTTACTCAAAATTTAGTTTTTTATTTTTTTGTTGGTGTTGGAGGCTTCAGCTTGGGGCAGGGGCCCTTAATCTTGTTTGTCCGTTTTGCCTTTAGTCTCCATTAAAAAATTTAATTTGACAAGTTATTTGGCATTATTGAAATTTATGTGCTAGAGTTTGATTAAGTTTTTACTTTGAAAATTAAAGTTTGCAATTTAAAATTTATTATTATTATTATTCATTACACATTGTATATTTATAGTGGTGGCCTTGTATATGTTAGGCAACTTAACAGCAGACACATTATGCAAATACATAAATGGAAAATATGACAACTTTCACTACGATGATAATACTCTATCATGACAAATCAAACCAATTATTCATTGCGAAAGAGAAGTATTACATTCAGTTACTAACCATCAACAACTCCACCTCTCACATATATGCTACCTTTGAAAGTATCTTCAATCTATCTTCCTGTCTTCTCGTCTATATACAAATTATCGATCTCTAAATATAAGTCGTTTTCTAATTCACATAATGTTTTACTCTCGTAATATATTTTTTTTTTCAACAACTACGAAGTATCAACTCCCATCTTTCTACCTTTTCAATATTCGTTTAAGAGTCATGATTATATGCATGGCGGCATGGACAAAAGCCCACCTATTTTAAATATGTTACCTTTATCAAAAAAATAAAATCTTAAAATTTATATGAAACCCTATATGATAATAAAAACATACTAATTATATCAATATTTTAAACTCTATGGCGAAGTGGAAGTGGGTGGGTCCAACTAGTATATAAATATAATTTTAATTAAATGACTTATGTATATATTTATGTGAATGTACAAATAAATTATTTTACAAATGTTATCACATATGTGTGTGAAAAAAAAAAATGAGTATCATATAAATGTAAAATAATACAATATGTATACTTTTATTATATTATTATATAAAAGGAATGGGTGCTGCTATTAGCACCTCATCAATTGCTTTAAACCCCCATTTTTAGAGAGAAATTTTATTTTCACACACCTACTTATCTCAGTGCACACACTTAATAAAAATTTATTTTAATGATAATCATACTCTAAAGTAAAATGACTATAATGAACATCAAAATACATCTTTAATATTATATTCTAATTTTCTCTATGCACATCTTTGTTCCATTGTTTCTCATTTCCTTGCAAAGTAATACTCTCAATCTCTATGTATTATCCGCTGTTCTTCAATCTCTAGTTGATCCACAGTAATCGCCTTGTTTACTTTAGCAGCTCAACTACAGGGGATTCTTTTTGTTTTTTTTTTTTTTGAACAGAGAAAGGAGAAAAAACCAGCACCCAACAAAACAAAACACGAAAGCTAAATAGGCCTAACTAAAGAACGAAGAGCAGACGGAGGGTGGGAAACCCAATCAATGGGAAGCTTGCCATGCATGGAGGCCTGGGCTACCCAGTGGGCAGCACCATTTGCAGTTCTCGAAGACCACTGAAAGGAGATGGTGCTTTGAGCAGTTAGATGCTTGATGTCATGAACAATAGCTCCACACTCCCAAGGGGGAACATCCTCAGAAACACACAGATGAATGACTAGTTTATTATCACCTTCCACTTCTACGATAGCAGGATGATAAGCTTGAGCCAACTGACAGGCGAGACGACAGGCAAGAGCTTCACCTTGGAGGGATATAGCAGCAGCCACTGCTTGAGAAGAACCCGTTTGCACAGCCACATCACAATTGATTTTGAACTAACCCGAGGGCGGTGGAACCCAATGCACAGCAGAGGAAGAGGCCGCAGCAGGAACCTGTGGGCGTAAAGAAACACCCATATCAGAGGCTGATTCATACTCTGCACTTGCCTTTCGAGCACGATGTAAGAGTGAAAGAGGATTAATTGGCTGGTTGTTAAAAATAAATTCATTCCTTCCCTTCCAAATAAACCAACCAGTCCAAGCAACTTGACCAAAGAAGCGAACACCATCAGCAGTAGTCTGAAACTGTTCCATCAAGGCACTCGACCATTCTAAAATCGAGTGGATGGAATCCCATTTTACTTTATAATTAAGAGCACTCCCAAACCATATTGGACGAACCCAATCACAACCAAACAAAAAATGTTCAACCGATTCGGCCCGGAATGACAAATAGGACACTGATCTGAGTAAGCACATTTCCGTTTAAACAGGTTCTCCCGAGATGCTAAAGCATTGTTGCTTACCCGCCACCACAAATGGCGAATTTTCGGTGGGACTTTGAGAGCCCAAATGAGTTTCCAATACTTACTAGGAGGTTGGAAAGATGATGATGGTTTCTGAACCAAACTATTATTGAAAACGGACCTGGCAATGTGATATCCCGAGTTAACCGAATACACACCTTTAGAATCATAGTGCCATACCTGAGAATCTGCCATGGGGGCCAATGCAGTGGGAATAGAGGATATAGCTTGGAGCTCAGAATTCGACACAAGGGGACGGAGGGCAGCCAGCTTCCACCTCTTTGTAGTTGTATCAATGGCATCCTCCACTTTCTCAATTTCAGAGTCTACAGATTTTGAAGAAGATATTTTAAAATCCAGGAGAGATGGAACCCATTTATCAACCCAAAAGCGAATCGAAGACCCATTATGAGCTTGCCACCGGACACCCTGTTTGAGAAGTTCCCGACCTTGGAGAATACTTGCCCATGCCCATGAAGCTCGGCGGCCCTTAGATGCAGACATAAAGCTAGTATGGGGGAAATAAATGCCTTTCAAAATGCGGGCACTGAAAGACTGCGGATATTGAAGCAACCTCCACCCTTGTCTTGCTAGCAAAGCCAAATTGAACAAATTGAAATCTCTAAATCCTAATCCGCCTTGAAATTTCGATAGCACCAGTTTCTCAACTACAGGGGATTCAATAGCACTAAATGTGAGGTAAAATGGGGGAAATTATATGTGCAATGGTAACCAAGAATTTTGCAATTGAGAAAGAGTATTGTGGACAAGAATACAGATTAACTGCAATGAACAAAGCTTCATACCATCATATATCACATCTCTCTATCTTAAGCTAGACAAAAACCCAGTATTCAAGTTCAACCATGAAAACCACTTCTTCAATTGCTTGATTTCTTAGTACACTATCAAACTCTAAGTCGTCGTGCCGCCGCCGCGGCTGGAGGAGGAGGCGGCGGAGTCTCTGTAAGACAATCTTTACTGTATTTAATTATGTTAAATTCTGTTGTATACTAAACAACAACCAGAATATAAAGAAATAAAGAAAATGAGAGAATTTGTTTGATTACAAAAATCAAACTCGAAATAATAAATAAATAAATAAAACCACAGATTTTATTTTGTTACAAAAATAAAAATAAAATCTGATTAAATAAACAAATAAAAATAGAATAAAATTAAACAACTTACTTGGTTAATTTATTTAAATAAATTTTCTGATCAAGTCCAGTGTTTAACACTGTGTCCTTAAGACAGATTCGTCATCTCCACGGTGCTTTCAGAATCTGGACGTCTATCTCCCAGGATAAAATGATCTATCAACGAATAAAAGCAGCACTACAATTTAATCGTTCGTCGAACACACAAAGTG